AAGAACAAAAGGACAGCAACTTGTCTGTTCCCCTTCCCCCAATTCCCCAGCGCTGTTCCCATCCCCCAATTCCCCAATAAAAATCTTAAAAAAAAAAAATTGAGCTATCAAGCCATGAAAAAAAAATGCAGATTACTAAGTGAAAAAGGGCAATCTGAAAATTCTACGTATTGTAGGATTCCAAATATATGACATTCTGGAAAAGGCAAAACTAGGAAGACAGTAAAAAGATCAGTGGTTTCTAGAGATTGAGGGAAGAGGTGAGTAGGTGGAGCACAGATGATGTTTAGGGCAGTGAAAATACTCCCTATGATATACTCTAATGGTGGACACATGTCATTATGTTTAGAATGAACCCTAAATATATACTATGGACTCTGGGTGATGATGATGTGTCCATGTACAGTCCTCAATTGTAACAAATGCACCACTCTGATAGGGGGATGTTGATAGCAGGGGGGGCTATGCATGTGTGGGAGTGGGGGGGCATATATGGGAAATCTCTGTACCTTCCTCTCAAATTTGCTGTGACCTTAAAACTTCTTTAAAAACATTGTCTTTAAAAGCAGAAGGAGGAGAAGGAGAACAAGACACCCAGAGACAATGCTGAAAGGAAAACAAAAACAAAACAAAAAAAAACCTGTCATTCTATCTCCAGTAAAGCTCTTTCAAAAATGAAGGTGAAAGTAAAGACATTTCCAGATAAACAAAAACCGAGAGAAATTGTTGCGAGCACACCTGCCTCACAAGGAATACTAAAGGAAGATCTTCAGTCTGAAGGGAAAGTATAATAGATAGTCATTCAGAAATAAAGGGAAAAAATGAAGAGTCCCAGAAATGGCAAATAGGTTAGTAAATATAAACAATTGTATATATTTTTTCTTCAGGCATTTGATTGTTTTCAAAATCAAAATTTCAAAACAACAAAAAAGTCATCAGAATAATGCAATAGAAAATGAGGGTTTTGACAACAAAGCTGAGCTTTAATATAACTCTGTAACCTTAAATAATTTTTCTATCATTTATTTGATCTGTGAGTCTCAGTCCTCCTCTGTAAATGGGATTAATAATAACGATCTTACAAGGTTATTTTAAGGATTAAGATAATGGCTAAAGTACCTAGCACAGTGCTTGGCACATAGCAGATGTTCAATAAATGGTAGGTGTTATCAGAGCCTTCAAAAATTTATAATGGCAAAATAATACTTTCTTGTTGCTCTATCTGTAACACCTTTCTGTGTGTGTGTGTGTGTGTGTGTGTGTGTGTGTGTGTGCGCGTGTGTGTTTGCTTGGTTTTTACATCTCTCTATGTCAGAATATTTGTTGTTTAGGAATATGTTGTAGCCTTCATTCCACAGTAATGGTAGTCCTTTTCTCACAGTTGAAAATGGTGGACAAGGAGATGGGGAAATGTCACACACACACACACACACACACACACACACACACAGAAACAGTGAGAATAAATTGTACCACTGAGATTCTTGTTATGATGCTTTTAAGATATTAAATCTCTATCTATATAATAACTTCAATCCCTTGTGTTCTAAGGTACATCTACTGCTTACCACCCCAATCAACTGTTAACTCACAGACACCTCTGTGTTTTCTAAATCGCCAGAAGGTTTCAAAAGCTCTGTCCTCTGTGAAAGCCATAACCTCCACCATGTAAATAAATCCACAAATAAGCCACCCCATTTTCATCTTATTAAAAAATACTAAGGCAATGAATTACTCCTATTAAATTCAACTTCCCTTTGGTTCGTTGCTTGAAATATTTCAGAATTTCCATGGACTATTCCCTTTCATGAAAACTGAGAAATACATGGGTTGAGAAAAAGACAAAGTCATAGATGTTTTTCAAAATATACATGTTTGTTCCGAAGTGCTCCTTTCAAACAAGGACAGGCTTCACTGGAGAAAGTTGTCAGAATCTTTTTTTTTTTTCCCCCAATGGCTCTTTGCACATTTTGTACACAACTCTGGAAAGTTGAGCCCCAGCCTGGAGCCCACACGAGGAGGCACCGTTCACCCCACCCCACCAGGCAGGGCTGCCGCTTCCCAAGTAAGCGCTGCGTGTTATAACGCCAATAAAAAAAATATGCATGTATTATTAAAGTTTGGGAGCTGTTCAAACATATCGAACGTCGGATTCAGTGCCATTCCCTGAAAGGCAGAAATGTTTTCCACTTCTTTTCTGAAGCTAATAAACTGAAACAGAACTGTATGTGCTGAGGAAAATGGCTCCCTGTTTTTCATGAAGTCGTTCCACAAGGAATGTACCCTCCTCTTGCCCCATCTTCTTCTTTTCCTAGTTCCGACCTGAAGAAATCAGGGCTGCTGTCGTCTCCTGAAGGGAAGGAGTGAGAAGAGAGAACGTACCTGTGACACAGCAGTGAGGAGAAGAGGGGTGAGGACGAGCGCCTGCATGTTCCCAGGACCGGGCAGCACAACCAGAGATAGGAGGCCAGTGTGCCCGGCCGGCCACACAAAGCTCCCCTCTGTCTCCTCAGCAGAAGAACTCACCACACACCTCCACCTCCCACGCCACTGACTTGCAGACTCTGCTTTCGCTTTCACGGATCTGTTTTAATACCCCTGTTTCCTTTCTTGGGCTCCTCTCCTGTTTACCTTTGCGGTGGTGTGGAGCGTGTCATGAGGGCGTAAGCACTCCCCTCCGGGGACTAAGAAGGGTAGCTCCAGTGGTGGCTTCTCTTTGAGTAACTGTTCTACCTGTTCCTCAAGATCAGAGCCTGCCCTTGGGCAAAATGGTGAGGTGAGAGGCATGCACCGTCCCTACCCTCAGCCTGGGTGCTGGGTTTCCTGCCCAAGGCCCTCTCTGTGCTGCTTTATTTTTCCACCTGACTCTCAAGCACAGAGTGCTGGCCTGGTCTCTGCCCACAGCACCCCACCCACAGCCTGCCCCGGTACTCCCTTCACTTCACCACAGGCTCCCAAGGCCTTCCCTGATGCCCCCACAGTGCCCGGTGCTTACCTGTATTCTAGCACATTTCTCACACCAGGTAGCTTGTGATTGGGAAACACTAGATGGAACAGGAACACGATGGGGGTGGGGGCAGACATGCCTACAGCCCCTGGCCGGCGAGAAGCTCCTTTCTGTGGCCACAGTGCCATGACAGGGAAGAGTAAACATTAGCTCCAATCTTTTGGGGCTAAGATAAAACAATTATGCTAGTGGCAATCATTCATTTAACAAATTAAGATTAAAAAAAAAACTTATTACAGATTTGTACCCCTTCTCCTTTAATTCTCACCTCCCTGGTATGTGTGGCCACCCCATCTCATCCCGTGTCCTGCTGTGTATGACCTCTGCTTATCCCACTTTCTCAGCGCTGGTCTTTGTTCATGTATCTTGATGTGCATCTGTGATGGGACTTGGCCTTCTTGTGGCTCTAGTGCCTGGTCCATCTTCCCACCCCCCCTCCTAAAACCCCATTTCTATTCCCTTTGACCTGTTACCTAGCCTACCTTTTCCTGTCACCTTACCTCTCTTGGACTCAGGGCTCACCTTCATTTCTGTTCAAGACAGTCACCGCTGTGTGAAGACACAGTGAGTAAAGCTCACTCAGGCCTGTGCTGAGGGCCTGGGGGAAAACTGGGCTCTCTGCCAACAACAGGGACTCTGGCATCCTTGGGGAGCCAGGGACTCCACAAAATGTGCAACCACAATCTATGCAGCTTACTAAGTAGTCAATGAAACCATAATTATACACACCAAACAACAAGGAACACCCAGTGTAGTTCTGGTGTCAACTCCTAATCCTGCCTCCCTAAGAAATAGGACAAAACTCAAGAATGACCTGGTGAAGGAAAACATGTCTATTTTGGTGTAATCTGACTATTTTCTCTTTCTAGTTTAACACCGGGCAATCTTTAGGTTCTCGGCCTTTGTGGTTCATGCACCTCACGGGCCATGAGGATGGATCATTTCTCGTTTCCTGGCTGGTCTACCAAAAGCAAAAGGGTCTCAGCCCAAGACCACTGTGTTTGTCCACTATACCCCTCCTGCCCCAGCTCTCCTGTTCCGAATGTGATGCTGCACACGGCTGTGCAGTGCTAAAACTTAGGAGAGGCATGCTCCTCCATTTGCTCTCTGTGTAACTCCGGGCAGCAGCCATTTTTCTGGAAAGGCCCTCTCTCTGCAAGCTCCCTGCCACGCAGCCAGGGAAGGTGTCACACTCACCATCCTTGCCTCATGGTAGGAAAGAAACATCTTAGTTGAGAACCAACTAGCAAAACCTCCCCCTGCAGAGCTGATGGGCCCTGGGTTACTCGCTGTCCCACATGTTCAGACATATCCAGTCACAGTAGGCTCCTATTACAAGCCTACTATGCATGGACTCAGTGAATAGGATATTTTTAGAGGTTGGGGCTGCCATCTTCGACTTCAGATAGTAAGAGCAATCAGGGTGTGTGCTTCCTGTCCTAAGCACTTCCCACTACTACCTCATTTAACAGAATGCGAATCTGTCTAGGAGCTCATGTCACACGTGTTCAGATTGTGATGTACATTCAAATAGACATGGCACGGAGCATAACTAATATTCGCATCATGTTTTATGACTTACAAGGAAGTTTCACATGCATTATCTTTTTTTTTTAATTTCACAACTCAGTGGGGTAGGCAAAAGCAGTATTGCCATCCTCATTTAAACAGATTAAAAAATGAAAGTTAAGTGATCATACTTGGTCAATAAAACACACTTAATCCCTGCCCTCCAGAGCTATGTAATCCACTATGAGAGAAGACACTAAACAAATAAAGACACCAAGTATCCATAACTAAAAACTGAATAAAGGCTAATAATAAAGAACAAGAAACTAAGAGAGAATGATAGGTAGGAGCTAATGTAGACTGGGGGCAGAGAGGGCGTCTGTGAGGAAGTGACACGTGGAGGGTTGGGAGATGAAGCAAGCTGAAGCGCTGGGGAGACTGCTGGTCCAGTGCGCTTTCTACTGGCGATGCACACCTCTGATGGTGCCGAGTGATGGTGCCGAGCTCCGTCTGCAAAGAGCACATTCCACTGCCCTTCCCATAAGATTCCTGAAGTCACTCTACTGGGAACATTATCACAGCTAGAATATTCTCTTCTTCTGGGTGGATTGGCCGTGTGGGGCAGGCAGAGATCAGAACCCATCCCTTCTGTCAGGGCACTTAGCACAAGATGAGTTCTTCTTCCCTCATCCCCTCTTCCTTCTTTCCCTCTCTTACTGATTGTGGAGACGGAGCTATTGCTAGCCCTGAGCCGAGACAGACATTGTTGGTGTGGTAATGCACTGAGGGTGCGCTATGGGGGAAGGCTGGTATTTGCATCAGTGAGAGAGAGCTATAGTACTAATAGCAGCTCACCATGAGTGCTCAGGGTTCCTCGTCATTGTAGTGAGTGCCTTGCCTGTACTGACTCACTGGATCCTCACAGCAACACTGCCGGACAGGTATTGTTATGACCATCTGTCTTACTAATGAGGGGACTGAGGCAAGGTCACATGAGCAGCAAGAGGTGGAACCCAGATTCCAAGCATTTAATCCAGTGCTCTGCTGCCTCTCTGCATGGCCCATAAATTACATAGGATGATTTATTGCGATACTAATTTGCATTGCGTTTTTGACATTTTTCTTCCTCCTACTCTCCTCTCCAATTTTAAGAAGCTAGTGAGGCCTTTCACATTTCCCTCTATTCATCCATCTAGCAGAAAAAGGAAGCTGCTGGAATGCTTTACCTGGTCTTTTAGGGAAGCTTGCTCTCACTGAAGAGGTAACATAGGTGAAAAGGGAGGGAATTTGAGGCAGACAAAAAGAGGAGGAAGTGGGTAAAGCTGTGGGCTGGGTGACCACGGCACCATGGCAGTTGCAAAGCCTGGAGGGACCCAGTGTGCCAGGGTGCTCCCAGGAGACTGACCCAGTGCCAGGGTTCCACAGTAGCAAGTTCCCCAGGAATTCTGAGCATGTGCAAAGTCTTTAGTGCCTGCACAGACATGAACCATCAGGGTGTGGGCACAAAGCTTGCAAAGTGAAGAGCAGAGGCCTGGCCCCTTTTCTAGGCACCAGCGAGGCCTCCTGGATTGCTGTTCAACTGCCGGTGGCGGTGGCGGTGGTGGCATTGGGAAGAATGCCCCAATGACAGCTTAGAATCAACTTCTCTCCAGATGGAGAAAGGGAAGGGTGGTTCAGAGCCAGGTTTCATTTTCATTTTAACCTTAGTTAAAAACCAATTCATTAAAATTTTCATTTTAATTAGAAGAAATGGATGTTTCCTCCAATTCCTGGATTTGTGGAGTCACGTTCATACTTGCTACAAAATACCGTCAGTCTCACAAAATCACCATTCTCCTTGGGTGTGGACTCTCCCCTGAAAATTCACAGGCCTCAGAACCAAAACCAATGCTGGGAACCTCTGTCCCATCAATCCTGGCTCTCTGTTAGCTCCTGGGGTGGGGGGGCCTACAACTAGATCTCTGGTAATTCAAGGATTCTTCCAGCCTGGTGACTACTACAGGCCCAGCACTTCTGAAGGACGTTCGCATGGCAGGTGCTCCATAAAAACTCATAGATGATTTTAAATGACTCCTACAAAATCACCCTGTAACTACCAAAGCTAAGCATGTCTATAATTTTGCATACACTTACCCACCGCATCCTTTTGTGTCCCTCTTCTATTACTAATTATTGCACTTCTCACTTACCTTTGTTTATCTTCTGTTAAATGCATCTTCAGTTTTTTTTACAAAGCTCTAGCCTCAAGATCTCAATGTGATTTCCATGAGACAGGCATGAGAGAGCAGGTGTATCTTTTCTCCTTCCTCCACTAACCTACAGAAGTCTAGCTTACCGAGCCTGCTCATTCTCTGAGGGGCTGTGCTGTGTGTGCTAAGGCGCTGCCAATGCCCCCACTTTGGAGGGAGGGCTGGAAAGGTTGCCAGGCTCTGTTTGGCATCCCATTCAGCTTTAGTGAGCCAGGTCCAAGAACAAGCAGCCCCTGACAACCGCAAACGCCCAGCCCTGCCATCTGTATGGGCCTCGCAGCAGAGTCTCCTTGGAAAGAAACAGGTGCCCTCATTCCCAGGGCATCCAAAAGTCAGGCTGTGGCCCAAGGAAAACAAGGCCAAATGCCGCGGATCTAATTCAGTTTGTCACTTGGCCCTGTTAGTCTGGTTTGCAGGGGGAGCCCTGTGTGGGAAAGGAGGCTGAGGTAATCAGAAGCAGGCAGTGAAAACTGCCACATGAGAAGTAGGAAGGGAGAGAAGAGGAAGAGGTATTTTCTCTATTTCCAAATGTGGGGGAACCTCATCTTTCAGGGACAGAAAAGCATGCATAACGTGGTGTGTCGGTCTGATCTTAAAAATGATTGCATGTGTGGATCAAAATCCACTCAGATGGACAGGCCCCTTGCCAGGGTGACAAGCAGGCTGGACTTGGAGCCAGAAAAACCCAGTTCACATGCAAGCTCTGCTACTTATGAGCTCACTGACCTTGGACAGTCTCCTCCAAGCCTCCTCACCTCTAGGTTTCTTAACACCTCCAATCCATCCTCGACACTGCTGCCAGGATTATCTTCCTTAAACACAAATCTAGCCCTGCTACTCTCCTACTCAGAACATTTCTTTCACTGCCCTTGCACACAGAATAAAATCCAGCTCCCAGGAGCATGGTAGAAGGCTCTCTATGATGCAGTGACTGCCCCTGGGGCCTCTCCCGTCCTCACCCCTGTACTCTAGCTGCACAGAACTGCTGTGCTGTGATTTCTCCAGCCTCCTGCCTTGGTTTATGCTGTTGTACCAGGAGAAGCCTTCCCACTGGCCACTGGTCCTGTGAATCATACGCATAAGTGACTTTCCCTTGAGAAGCCTTCCAAACAACACCCCAGTAAAGTTCCTCAAGCCCTTTGTGCAGCACTGCTGGGCCCTGTAAAACCTGCACTGAAATCATGTGTTTCCTTGGAGGGTTGCCACGTTTAGCTAATAAAAGTAACCATAATCGGGCCGGCCAAGTGGCTCAGTTGGTTAAGAGCTCGCTCAAGAGTGTGAGCTCTGAGCAACAGCGGTTGGAGTCCCGGCCCAAGTTGAGCTGCCGCTGAGCTGTCAACAAGTGGCAGGATGGCTCAGCTAAAAAATAAAAGTAAAAAAATAACCATAATCATAATGATAGGATTCCCGGTTAAATTTTTTAGTATATACGGAACACACCTCTAGTAAGAAATTATTGATTGTTAAACTGAAACTCAAATTTAACTGGACATACGTTTATCCGGATTTTTCCCACTGGACTGAATCGCGTAAAAATGGAGATGGATGAGGCCTGTAGGTAAGAATAGCCTTAGTAGTCACAAAATGACCGGCAGATGCTTGATAACCTTTATTTACTTTACATGACTAGCACTCGTTTCTAGCCTTAAAATTATTTATTTTACAGGCAAATTAATAAACATGGCACTCATTTTTTCTTTGCTTTTCACCATTAGGTCTACGTTTGGAGGCTAAGTGTTGTCCTATGCACAATATACCTATATTGCAATTCCAGATCGAGCCTGCAATAAACACTGACAGACTCTAGATGGCGCAATGGGCTAACGCACCAGCCTTCCCGCACCCGTGTGAGCGAGCACTCAGAGAAGAAAGAAGATGCAATTCTGCGGCAGAGCTCAGCATTATTGATTGTGACGCTGCCGCAGAGGTGGGAGGAGCCCGCCGCCATCTCGCCAAGTCTCCTGCAGTAACCAGAACGTCCCTGCAAGATGCTTTTCCCCTCCTCCAAAGTCCCTTGATGTGTGAGGAGAGAACTCTGTTGAACACATTATTTCTTTCATTCATAGGAAGATCGGACCTGATTTTTATTTCACGTTGTCATTATGAATAGCAGCACCAAAGAAGAGCAGCTGTACTTTTGAAGGCAACTGCCTTTTAAATCAACAGCTATTTTAAAATATTACCGAGTATAACTGAAAGGCAATAAAATCGTGTGGAGGTGGGGTGAGGATGCTCATCACCCAATTATAAAGCATTCTCATATAAAGAAATGAAAATCCTTTGGATATAAAACAATTTAATTATTATATATTGTCTTAACCACGGCTATATTTCCAGCCAGCATTGCAACCAGAAATCTGCACATTCTAACTGAAAATAAATAGATGCTCTAAAACTAAACCGTGGGTGGGGCCTCCACGTGACCCATGTGTGGCATCCCTCCCTCTTGGCCAGTAGAGGGCGGTAATCCATTGAGACAAAAAGAATCACACAAAAGATACAGATATACAGAAAACATTTTGTTGTAACAGGGAACTTACAATATGTATTTACTCACCAATCCTTTTATCTGGCCAATACCTTTTCTTTGAATACGGATTTGCTGCTTAGAGTGCTGTATTGTCCCCTTTCTTTGCAAACCACACATAAAATGCATCCTCCATGTTGTCTCATTGGATTTCCTTAATGAAATGAGAATTTAAAGACAATGCAAAGCATCTTGACTCAAGAATACTTCTAGATGCTGTACTGATTGATAGCCATCAAATATAATTCAACAACAGTTTTTAAAGCATTTTGCCTTTATTGAGTCTTTCCCAAGCATTAAGCCTAATTTTCATTGGTAACACCTCCCTCTTTCTTTATGTACTCGTATATCACTGGTTTTAATAATATTTGGTCAGATTGTATAATTACTGGAATACAATCAAATGACATGAACAGTTAGGAAAAAAGGAAACAACACACTGTGGGCCTACTAAGCAGTAGCCTCCTGTCATTCCGGCCAGCAGCACTCAGTGGACCATGGGCATCAGTGTCTTAGCTCAGGCAGCTACAAAAGAATGCCATAGACTGGGTGACTTATATGCAACAGAAATTTCTCAGTTCTGGAAACCGAAATTCTGAGATCAGTGCCATGGTCAGGTTTTGGTGAGGGCCCCCTAGTGAAAGCTCCCTGGAGTTCCCAACACACTGGGGATTAGGATTTCAACACATGGATTTTGACGGAGTACAACCATTCAGTCCTTTATGGTGAATATGTTTCACAAATGGAGAGTTAGTTAATCTGGCTGATCAGTTACCTGGAGGTCAATTAATAGAACTTCTAATTGAATTCAGAAAAGTAACAATCATTTTTCAAAAGCTCAATAAAAGCATATATACGCATCTACCACTTAGCCAAATCCACAGGAAATGTAATGGAATCGGTTGCTGAATCACATGTCATCCTAACTTCGACTTGCCTGAACAAAACAAAGTTCACTCTCTCATCCAACGGGGATGCCAGTTGATGAGCCCCATCCACAAAGGAATCCCTAAAGTGAGTCTCAGGTCAACATTTCAGAATGTGGAAAGCAACCCTTCAATCCTGGCTGCTGGCATGCCATCTGTGCCAGTCACACAGACACTGCCCTCCCCAGCCCTCAGATTTTATGTCCAGACTTAGTATATCCAACCACAGCAAGCAATAATTTTAGTTTTGAAACTTAGGTGCACAAGAAAAATCATATATTTTTATTTATTTATTTATTTATTTATTTTATTAAAGATTTTTTTTTATTATTGGGGAATTGAGGGGATGGGAACAGTGTTGGGGAATTGGGGGAAGGGGAACAGACAAGTTGCTGTCGTTTTGTTCTTCAATCTAGTTGTGGAGGACGTTGCTTCACTGGCCCAAGTTGGCACCATCATTGCACTCTTCCCAGGCGAGGCGGATCAGTCGCCGGCTTCTGGGCGGCCAAAAAATCATATATTTTTAGAATCCCTTAAATCGAGTTAAATATGACTCCAAGTCCACCTTCCACTGAGTTCATGGGCAATTGAATCGTAATCATGATTGGGCACCTGCTGCGTCCTGGTTTGTGTCAAGATTCCGGATTCCTACAGCCCACAGGCTACATTGCCCCAGATCCCATGGTCCCTTCCAGTCTGGAATTTCTGCTGTTTCTGTACAACTCTTGGGTCATGAGACTCATTGGTGAGCTGGAAGGTCCTGCATCTGGAGTCCGGTTTCTCTGGCTAGAGTCACCTCTAGGGTGGTCTGGCATCTCCCCAGTGCACAGCCAAGTGCGAACAACTCCCGCTCTCACAAGACCTGACCAGTCATAGAAGGAATCTCTCCCTCACCACCTAGCCACCTCCAAGGATGCACTTCTTCCCCTGCCCACTCCAGGGGAGAGCTCATTATAAGCAGTAACAGCTGTAAGCCCTCTCAGACAGGCTCACTACACCCCTCAGAAAGGGCGGTAGAAATAGTTTGGGATTAGCACTGCATGGAAATAAGTTTTGTTCTAATGGGGACAAAATAATGTTAAAGAGTCAAAGCAGCTTTGATCAAGACTATTCTGTCTTTTCTGGAAAGTTATTAAAAAGAAGGGATGCAAATGTCCCCACCATGGGGTCTCTGCTGTTGGGTTCTTGAAGCATTTCCACATCTAAACATTTCATTTTGTTAACCAACATTTCCAGTTGGTACATTCCTTCAGTTCCACCTTTAATTAAGCGAGTGCATTAAATGTTTAGCATCAGCAACAAATGTCCCTCCAGCCCAAGAAATTTCTATGACAATCGTGCACCTTTTCTACTATAGAAAAAAAACAAAAAACCCTCAAGTTTATATGATATAAATAGGGGCTTTGAGAAAATGAATACGGAAACAAGTCAGAAAGTAATCAACAAGAAGCAGAGAGGTGAGAAAGAAAACTGGAACTCACAGCTCCTGGGAGTTTTAGGGCATTCCAGGTCAGCAAGCCACTTCCCCGAGGGAGCTCATTAGTTCAGAATATAGTCCATGCCATTGCTGGATGCCTCTGCAGCAACACTGTCCAGTAGAATGTCCTGCAATGATGGAAATGTTCCAAAATATAGAGCTATATTGTGCTTGCTATTGGGCACTTAAAATATGGCTAGTGCAATTAAGAAATTAATTTTAAATTTTATTTAATTTGAATTACTTTGAATTTAAATAGTCATATGTAGCTTTGGGCTACCATGTTGGACAGCACAACTCTGTAGTCATTTGCTCTTTTTATCTATGATTTATACCTCACCTCCTTTCATAAAGGCTCTAAGATTGCTTATCAAAAAAAATTAAGCACAGCATGAAATAGGAAAATTGAAAAAAATTTAAGGATAAAAGAAATAAAAGAAGAAAGCAGTTCTGTAAAAGAGAGCAGAGAAATACATGTTCCCAGACACATGGAATGAGTTAGTCATTGCTTTTGAAAATTAAATTTATTTCTCAATTGCTGAAAAGTAAGGTAAAAATGAAAAGTTAACTATAAAATTCATATTTAACAATTGTTTGACTGCCAGCAACTCTTGTTCTCTGGAAACAGATTCCCTGCCCCTAAAGCTCCAGCTCTCATCCTGTCTACTTGATTACAGTAGAGCCACTAGGGGTGACTCTCCGCCTGGCATTTAGCCCAAGCTGGCCAATCACAGTCATCTCCTTGAGAGACTAGACTTGGGACACAGGTAGGTGTGATCTCTCTCTGGGATGATAGAAGGCAGATGTGAGACTCAGGGTCCGTGGAACTAAAGGACAGAGGATGGTGGTCTCCAAAGAGGCAAGAGAATGTAGTGTGGCAAGGGTCATGAACACAGGCTCCAGGTCTGCACCTGCTCCCTCACTACCAGTGTGGCCATGTGTCCTAACTTCCCCAGGCCTCCTCCTCTGCAGAAGGGGAATTATTTTAGTTCAGGTTTCATAGAATTGTTGTAAAAAAAAAGAAAACAAAAGCAGGGACATAGTAAGTGCTCCACAGATATTACTATTAATTATGAGAATAGTAGGGGCAGAACCTCAACAGCATTCAGGTAACTGGATTTGTGTCAGCGCCAAAGTCTTAGCAATTATCAGCCTCTGGGCTTCATGAGGCACACTCCTACCCCATATTCTTAAAATACTGTTTCTGTTTCACTCAAGCTTATTTTGGTTGGGTTTCTGGGCTCCAGCAGAGTTCTAACATGCTCACCATTTGTTTGGAAGTCTAACTTGTCCTCTTTCTGACACAGAAGCCCAGGAGTACTTAACCTTTGGTAGACTCTTACCACAGGCAAGGGCATGGGACAGGCAATCTCAAATGGACACAACCTTAAAGTTACTATCTGTAGTTGACATTTGCCATATTTTGGGCTGCCCAGCACCCACACCTTCTTCTTATTTGAGAATAAGCTTTCCAGAATATACCTCTTGAAGGGAGGTAGGGCCCACCTACTGCAGGAGCTGGAGGTTGCCAAATAATACTTCACTCCGGCCCCTGGCAGCTCCTGTGTCAATATGTGACCTGGGCTGGGCTAACTGAGTGGTCCTTATTGGAGATTTGGAAGGAGACCACCACCCACACGACTTGTGGTTGTCATGCTGATGGTGGTATTGATGTCCAAAGCCTGCCTGGCTCTGGAGGGAGGCAGCGCCAGCAGCACCCTCACTGACTCCCCCTGCCCAGCCTCCCATTTTCCAAGCCTAGTTCTGCAAACTTCCTGTCGATTCTGTGAGCTCCCTAATATGTTGTCAGTGAATTCCTTCTCTGCATGAGCTAGCCAGGAGGCCTTTGGTTTATAGCCAAGAACCTTGCTTTTCTCTTTCATCCCTTTGAGTAATTAAGTGACCAAAAATAAACACAGCTTGCTCCCTGGGCTCTTGCTGCATCACCATCAACTGATGTTACTGCTCCATTCCCCAAGGTAGGCACGTTTCTATCAATTCTTGCACAATCCTGTGGCACTTGGACTGCCACTTGGCCACATCTGGCCTACTTATTATATGACAGCCTGTGATGAAAGGGTTTGGAAGGACCATGCAGGTACCAGACACGCTGCATTGCTTCCAAAGTTACCAGTATCAGTTTGGGGGCTGAAGATGTATTCTGGAGAAAGGAAAAGAAGTTGTCTTCAGAATGACTGAATTTATACAAAAGTCAAATTTTCATCTTCTATACTAAGGTCTGACAATTAGGTTCACGAATTTGTTGCAACGATGTTGCTAACCTTTTTTGATATCAGATGGATTATTCATTATGAATTTGTACCAACTGAACAAACAGTTAACCAAGTTTACTATTTGGAAGTGCTGAAAAGGCTAGACGAAAATGGCTTGAACTATTTGCCAATAATTCATGGCTTTTGCATCACAACAATACACCCGCTCACACGGCACTGTCTGTGAAGGAGTTTTAGCCAGTAAACAAATAACTGTATTGGAACACCCTTCCTTCTCTCCTGATCTGGCCCCCAATGACTTCTTTCTTTATCCAAAGATAAAGGAAATATTGAAAGGACAACATGTTGATGACATTCAGGACATCACGGGTAATAGGACGACAGCTCTGATTGCCATTCCAGAAAAAGAGTTCCAAAATTGCTTTGAAGGGTGGACTAGGTGCTGGCATCAAGTGCACAGCTTCCCAAGGGGAGCACTTGGAAGGTGACCATAGTGATATTCAGCAATGAGGTATGTAGAACTTTTTCTAGGATGAGTTTGTGAACTTAATTGTCAGACCTCATAAATGGGCATGCCAAAACATTATAACAATTTTATCACTTAGATTAATAAATTAACATTCTCTGTTGATGAAGTATTAGTATATTATAGTTTCACCTTCTAATATAAAGTTCTTCCTGGAAACTTTTAGTGCAATAGTTTATTCACTATGGGTTCTTATCTGAATTTCAGACAAGAGCATGTATACCCACTGCCTAGTATTGCTCCCAGAGAACAGTAGATAAAAGAGTTTGTTGGGGGGAAAAAAAATGAACAAGACAGCTAATTAATGAGTCAATGCACAAGCAGTCTACCAGAGTGAGGAGTCAGCCACTTGTGTTCACACTGCAGTGACGGACCTTCCACGAGCTTGGTAATGGAGAAGGAAAGAGCGGGCCGGATGATGCAGAACATCTTCTCATTACAAAAATATGAGGCTGTTTTGGTCGGTTTGTTTTTCATTGTGAGGAAATTTTACAATTAAATCCTTCTACTAAGGTACCAAGCACACCAAGAGGGAGACTTAGACTCAAGCTGTAAGACAGTCATTGATGGGCCCAATTCTAATCATGTATGATGGACTTAGATATGCTAATACAACCCTTTACAATTAAATGGTTCCCTCTGGCATTTGAGGTTATTTAACTCTCTTCATTCATCCAGTTTAGTTCTCCAGGAACACCTAAAATAGCAGACTATTCTATACCATGCTGAGATTTATTTGGATGACTTAGCTAATCGCTTCGGGCCTACATTTCTGATTCTCCCCCCCCCCCCATACTCCCCACCATTCTTAATTTAATCCAAAACAAAGAAGTGAAGGAATCATTTCTGACATTACTTGTCATTTATGTAAATAAAAATACATGTCTGGTTTTTCTTTTTTTGCTTTGACCACATCAGGGGAACACAACTAGATAGATATAGTTTCACCAATTCGGGATTGCCTATCTTAAAATATTGACTAACTGGTTTTTTGAAAAATTCAATTTGGGAACCCTGGAGGCTTCTTCAAGAGACAGACAGTCACCCTCCAGGGTAGCAGAACTGTGGTGTAGGAGGCCAGGTTGACTGCTAACCAGGGAGGGGGTGCCTTTATCATTAAGATGAATTAAGACGCAGCCACACAGGCAGACAATCCAGATCACAGGTTTGAAGTTGAGTGGAGCTGCTTTGCACAGGGCAGCTCTATCTAGCTCAGAACTTCTCAAACAAACACAAATTGCACAGGGGTCATGATTCAGGATCTGGGTGGGGTCTGAAATCCTGCACTTTTAACCAGCTCTGGGCTGGTGTCAGAGCTGGTTGTCCTCAGACCCCAGTGGGAGCAGGAGGCTCCAACTCCAAGGTGAGCAGCACTGACTGACAATTTCCCAGAGCAATTTCTGGTACAGCAGGTACATTCAGTAAAGAAATCCTAGAGTATAAAAGAAAAAAAATATTTTAGATATTCCCATTCCCTTTTAAAATTTCCCTGAAGCAGTGGCTCTCAACTTTGGCTGCCAGAGAATTGCTTGGGGAGCTTTAAATATCCCAGTGCCTAGGACCCACCTCAGACCAAGGACATAGCCTCTCCAGGGGTAACACGCAGGCATCAGGATGGTTTACAACTCCCCCAGGTGACTCCAATGTGCAGCCAGAGTGGAGACTGGCTGCCCAAAGCGAGCCTTCACTAAGTCATTGCTATTACCTGACAGCTCTGCTGCTCCTTACTCCTTTACTGGCTCCTGTGTTGGGCATGGTGCTATGTTCCCACCTTAGATTTTGGACTAGCAGCCATTAGCCCATTTGCAATTGGAGAGTTCATCTCTCTGGCACCTAGCCTGCCTGTGCTCTCAGAGCTGACACAGACCTTGCTATCTGCCAGGGCATGGCTCCCAGAGTCTGTGCTACACAACACAAATCTCACAGGGATGCTAAATGATGCCATTTTAAAAGGAAAATAAATGTAATTTTATTGAAAGCAGTTTGGGTTAAATAAAGTCAACCAGATTTATTTACTATAGGACTTCCCAGATCTTTTAATATTTAATAGGCCAGTGTGCTCATCTCTAATAGGAAGATATTGCAGGCAACATTTTCCATATAAATCTGACCATAAAAACTTTTTTTTTAAAGAACAAATCCAGGAAACAGGCTTTCGAACATACCGCAGCAGGGTATAATTTAAATTTTAAACTTTCCTGGTTAAGTTTCCTAATATTTTCAATATTGATACTATCATGCATGTATTTTACTCAATTGGCAAGTGTTTTGTGGGTAATTACCTTATGCTGTGTGTTGTGTCAGGTACTAGGAAGTAGGAACTTGGTATCTGATTACATGAAACAATTGGAGAAGAGCTCTGCTTCAC